TCTCTCTATAATTTACTAAAACAAAAACGATAGTCATTTCTCTTAAATTTATAGTTTCTAACACGAGAATCAACTTGAACATATCAAAGGGAATGATGTACAAAAATTTTCTTTAAATTGAGCAAATACATGGTATGAGAATCCTGAGATTTCAACTATCTCGAATCAAGTTCTTTGGCTCGCTCAAAACATACTTTGGTAATTCATATCTTGCACCTGCAACAAAGGCGTTTGGGGGTAAAATAAACTCTATCCCCGACCTTATGCTAAAAGGCAAAAGAAAAAGAAAAATTCGAAGGCGGTGAACTCAGTTATGTACCTCTTTCATCGTAACAAATTGTTAAATCGGCATTCTGAACTGTAATCCTAGCATCATTCACAATTGTTTGTGCAAGAGATGGATCAGCTTCGGCTGCTGCACGAAGTGCATCCCAAATTTCTGGTACAAATACATGATACAACATAAGATTTCCTCGAAGTTTTAGGCAAAATATAACAAACACGAGAGATTTATATCGTTTAACACCTCGGCCAGCTACAAAAGTGTACCATGTAAACTTACCTATCCGACCGCCATGGTGAGGAGCAGTGTCCCAAAACTCTTCTCGCAGCTGTACGAGTTGACACTTTGTTATCGGCTGAGGATGCTTCCATGGTTTCGGTTTTGTGATCTTTTTAACATTTCCTGTAAACTCAAGTGCAAAATACTACACTATCAGTACCATATTTAGGTAAGTCTCAATAGATCCCGATCATTGGTGACTGCGTAGTTAACACGATAAGTCTAAATTATTCGTGTTTTACATGATGATATCAAAATAAACGTTTCAGGCACGATGATGCAATTATCATAAGCTGGACCAACATATGATTTGGCGTAATCACAACATCTCAAAAATTCGAATGAAATAAAAAAGATAAGAACGAAGATTTCGAGCAATACACTAAGAAAACATATGAAATTTTATGGAGTCTCATGCCTCACCTTTTGTCTGTGAGGATCCAGCACAACCCATATCGTATTATTGTACGAAATGAAGTAGATTTAGATTTGAAGTCCAATAAATATGTGTTGTAGGAAGAACAGTTTATGAAGTTCAGTGAGTTCTCTAGTAAAGTGCATGTGAATTCTAGTTGATAGGAGAAAAATGAAAGTTCATGATCAAATAGTCACTTTTTGGTTGGATATTTTTCATTAAATTAATCCCAAATAACTTGAAAAAGTATAATTGGCTTGAATATCGTATCTGAGGACTCGTCGAACTATACTTTCGAATCTCGAGTTGTTGGTATGGTGAATAACCATTCCTTTTTGGAGGATGAAGCTTATCATTTTTAGTAAAAGTTAAGTGCTTGTTTGGTACAAATTTTAAGTCAATTAAAATCAATTTTTTAACTGTTATTTCACTATTTCGGCCATCATCTTTGAATTATTCTCTCACAGGTAGGATCCACTTTATCTCTAACGGTCAAAAAATAAATTATCAAAATCCCTACCAAACAAGTACTAAATTGACTGGCAAATGTTGCTGGAGGCCCTAAGGGAAATGGTGTCCACAAGAAAGACCAGAAATTGAGTAAGAGAAAAAGTTTACTTGGTAGTTGGGTATCATTTTCCATTCTCGTGATTACAGTTGCAGAGGTTGTAAGGAAAGATTGGAAGTGGTGAACCATCCAAAATAGTTATGTCCTAAAAGTTCATGTATATAGTCCCCACAAAGTTGTGAAAAATTAGGAAATTTTGTACCAAGAAAATGAAATTAGTTTATTATTATTATTATTATTATTTTTTTCATATCTATACATACAAAGAAAAGAGGGAGAGACACACGAACACCTAGACGCTTTAACTATACATAGTCGAGGATTTAATTAAAAAAAAAAAGATTGAACCCCAACCTTGAGGGCCCCCACCGCCCCACCTCTAGAACTTTGTGAGGGACGTAAATCGCCGAATGTGCTTCAGCAGGCCAGGGAACAAGAATTGTTTATATACTACGCCAACAAGAAATCCAATTCCATCTTACAGGAATCGAACTCCCATACTGCGGCTACCAGCAAGGTGTGAGATAACCTCACTCCTATCCTTTGCACCACTAGACTATGCCCCAGGAAGCTAGTCGAGGATGTAATTGGTCAGATAGAGAGTCGAGTTAACCTATGTTAATTTTATGCTTCCACTCTGAGATGCATAGTTTGATATATCTATATATAATTAGAAATGCCAATATGTTTTCTAATAAAGAAATCTTTCAGATATTTAGGACGTATTTGGTAAGTGATTAGTTTTAATATAGGGAAAACACCATATATACCTCACAAATATATACTAATTCATTTTATACTATTAAACCCATTTAATAACCAAAATTACTGCAAAACTCCAT